GGACGGAAGCTATGTAAATTCATGATTAATGAAAGATTATCTTAGGACATGAAAAGTTGTTTCCCTTATATGTAATTGTAAAAAATACAAAAACGGCCATAAAAACTGCAAAACACAAAATGTGAAACCGCAATTTTCCATATATTTCCGCATGCACCCAACAAGCCTTCATGCAAAATTTGATGAAGATTCATCGACAGGGGGCGAAGAAGTGATAAAAAACACAAAAACTTTCATACAAACTTCAAAATGCAAAACTGAAAATGTGTATGTATTTCCTCATGGGTCCAATGAACCTCCACACCAAATGTGGTGACGATCCATCACAGAGGTGAAGTAGTGGTAAAAAACGCCCATAAATACCGTAAAACGTAAAATGAAAAACTGAAAAAAATGTGTATGTATCTCCAGATGGACCCAATAAACCTCCATACTAATTTTGGTGAAGATCCATTCACACCCTGCGAAGTATTTAAATGGACATATAACTGACAGTACAATTATATTTATACAAATACCTTAAAACATTAAAAAATACATGAAGAAGGCAAAGGAGAACTGGATAGATGAACAGTGCAATGAAATTGAAGAAAAATTGAACAAGAACAACAGTAAAAAACAAACCAACTTCTAAAAAACTTAACAACCATAAAACAAGGGCGAGCCAATGCCATCCAAGACAAATCATGAAAATGCCTCATTGAAGAACAAGAGATCCTCCATCGGTGGTCAGAATATTGCTCAGAATTATACAACCACAAGATCAACGGAGACCCAACGGTACTACACAGCCCTCAGACAACTGAAGAGGACAACTATCCTATACTTCGAGAATAAGTAGAAAATGCAGTGAGATTACTGAAGAAAGGGAAGGCAGCTGGAGTTGACAACATACCAGCAGAATTGGTTTAGGCCCTGGGAGAAGCCTTGATCACTGCCCTCACAACACTTTGCAATAAGACCTGGCAGATAGGAGAATGAACTACCTCTTGTACCCAGTCTATGGTTATCATGCTTCCCAAGAAAGGCAACATACACCTGTGCCAAAACTACCGAACAATCAGCCTCATCAGTCACCCGAGTCATGTTAAAGATCATATTAAACAGACTCAAGCCCCAAGTGGAAAAGATCATTGCTGAAAACAGGCAAGGTTCTGAGCAGGATGAAGTATCACAGAACAGATCTTCTATCTCAGGATACTCCGGGAGAAACATCTCCAAGATCAACAAGACCTTTATCATGTCTTCGTAGACTTCAAGAAGGCCTTTGACAAGGTATGGCACGCAGCCTTATGGGCAATCATGAGGAAGTACAACATCAGCGCCAATCTTGTTTGAGTCGTTGAAAACCTTTATGACAAGGCCATGAGTGCAGTCATCATAAATGGTAGCTTAAATGGTTTCATACAACAGTTGGAGTTCGACAAGGATGCCTACTCTCATCCACCCTCTTTAACATATTTTTAGAAAGGATTATGAGTGATGGCTTAGAAGATCATGCAGGTACTGTCAGTATTGGAGGCAGACCAATCACCAACCTTCGCCTTTCAGACAACATTGATGGCTTATCAGGAGAAGAGCAAGAACTAGCCAGCTTGTTGGAATGCCTCAACAAAATATCTATAGCTTACGACATGAATATCAGTGTCAAGAAGATTAAACTGATGACAAACAACACCAACGACATCAGCATTGAAATCAATGTACATGGACAAAGACTTGAAACAGTAAAATGTTTCAAATACCTGGGATCAATTGTCACAGATGAGGATTCCAAACCTGAGA